GATCAGATAAAAAAACACATTATGCAGGGGGGTGCACCTGTCATACTAAACCAAACTTATTTTATTCTTTTTTTTCTTAATATTATTTTTATAATAAAACTTAAATTAATAACTGCACATCTCTATTTCAGACAGGACAACCTTTAATATTTTATATTTTTTTCTGTTTGGATTATGAATGATTGTATAAATGAACTAACAGATTATAAACCCTTGAAAAAGAAACAGAGAACCTACATTAAGCAAATTAATTTGTAAGAGAAAATGGTCCTCTTTTTTACCAGAACAATATAAACTGTTTAAGATTAATGAAACCCACTATGTTAATGTCTATTTGTCTTTGTCACTTTATATATGCCAGAATTTTAACACAGTGGTGTTTCTCATACACTCCATGGATCTGAGCGCTATTTGGAGAACTTGGGCGCTCAGATTGGGGCTATTTGTGGATGTATTATTTCTGTGGTTATTATATATTTTTATGGTATTTTAGAGTATTTTTATGTTTTATATTTTTATGTTTGCCTCTCTGTTCCTGGGAGATGATTAGCTTACTGGTCTTTAATGCAATTATATCCCAGGCACAGAGAATTATGGGACGGGCTTGTATTGCATTGAATGGAGACCCCATGCTGGGGGATGTGTATAAAAGTAGGCAACTTGGCCATAATAAACCAGTTCCTTTACACCCTTTACTCAGTCTGGGCTAGTGTTTGGGTGGATCAGCTATACTGTCTGCAGGAGAAATAAATCACTTGAAGCTGTATCCAGGACCCTGTTCCAGAGGGGGAAGTGACAGAGAGACCCCAGCCAAGCTGTGGCGGCTAGGGGCTGAAGCACTCCTAGAGGAGAGCTAGGAAGCGAGCTTGACAGAGGTACCAAGTCGGGGTGCCAGGCAGTCCGTCACAGGTAACAACAATAAAAGTGGGTGAGCTACCTGTGGCAGATGATGTTATAACATTCTCCATCAAATGATGTGATTCAAAAGTAGATGGAGATGAACATGAGGAAGATGCAGGATGACTAGTCATACATAAAATAGTGGGCTGCTGCCTATTCTCTGCAGACTCTCCTTCTGTAATTCCTTGAGCTCAGAGCTGAGTTTATTCGTAGACAGTCTTACATAAATGTCTACAGTGGTTGGGGAAAAAGCAATATTATCACCAGATTCAGACCAAGCATTGTGTTCAATACTTTGATACTCTGCTCCAGGGACGTATTAGCCACGAGGCAAACAAGGCATTTGCCTTGGGCGGCATTTTTCAGGGGGCGGCAAAATACGCCGCCCCCCAGATGCCCAGGGCAAATGCCTTGTTTGCCTCGCAGCTAACAGACACGCCGGGCTGGGCGGGTGGCGCTGGCTACTCTGCGGGCGGCTGGCGAGGGAGCTCTTCCTCTGAGCACTCTGCTCATCTCCCTCGTGTGCCACCCGCAGAGTGAGGCTGGGAGCCGGAAGATGACGTCATATTCCGGCTCCCAGCCTCACTATGCGGCACGCGAGGGAGCTGAGCAGAGTGCTCAGAGGAAGAGCTCCCTCGCCAGCCACCCGCACAGCAGCCAGCGCCGCCCGCCCAGCCAACCGGCAGCAACTTGACCACCAGGGAGAAAGAGACCCCCCCAGCATTCCCAAAGGTAAGGAGGTTGGGGGGGGGGTTAAATTAAAAAAAAAAGTGTTAATATGAGTGATTGTGTGTGTGTCTAACTGTGTGTGTATGTGTGTGTTTGTGTCTGACTGTGTGTGTGTGTGTGTGTGTGTGTTTGTGTCTGACTGTGTGTGTGTGTTTGTGTCTGACTGTGTGTGTGTGTGTGTGTGTGTGTGTTTGTGTCTGACTGTGTTTGTGTCTGACTGTGTATGTGTCTGACTGTGTGTGTGTGTGTGTTTGTGTCCGACTGTGTGTGTGTGTGTGTGTTTGTGTGTGACTGTGTGTGTGTGTGTGTATTTAGAACGTGGGGCGGGGGGGAAGGGTTGGGTGGGGGTGGCGCGGGGGGGGGGGCTCCTGAGTTTTGTCCTGCCTAGGGCAGCACAAAACCAGGATACACCACTGCTCTGCTCTACTTATTTTTTAGTGCTTTTCTCAGATGTCATAGAGAAACTATACTCAGCTAAGCTTTTCCTTTGCTACTTCTTGGAGAGACTACAAGAACTAGCGGATAACATTGGGAAAGGCAAGAAGTTCATTGGTTTCACTTGATCATCTTGATCATAAAACACAAAAGCACTTAAGTTAGAGTTATCTACAGTGCCAGTGGAAGGGCCAAGTTATTGTTAAGATGGTTGTCAAATTCATAGACCAAGCTGACTCTGCTTCTGCAACTACAGTTTTGTCTTTAGACTTTGACTTCAATGGCAAGTTGAAAACATCTCTAGTAGAGATGTTGCGAACCATTCGCAAACTTCCTGCGAACGATTCGCCACAAACTCTGGTTAGCTGACACATCCCAGCCAATCTCTGGCAGACCCTCCCACCTCCTGGAGAGCATCCATGTTCGCGGACAGTTTGCGACATCTCTAATCTCTAGATGTCAATTCCAGGACAATAATAATAATAATAACAAAGTATTTAACCAGGAAAGGTACATTCAGATTACTCTATTTTCAAGTACATCCTGGGTATGGTACCTTAGCCCAACATCTACAGCCTGTTACTATTGCCCAATTTAATGGTACTCATTTTATCTACCTTGGAAGGATGAAGGGCTGAGTCAACCCTGCCAGGATTTGAACCAGCAACCCAAGGGTTGAACACATTCTAGAGAACAGATTTGAGTGATGATGCATTAGCTCACTGAGCTATCTTACAAGTGAACATGAAATGTGGCATATACCAATGTGATGCACTATCTCCAATGCTGTTCTGCATAGGCCTCAGGCCCCTTACCCACATCATCAGGTTCAAAGGTTGAGCTATCATCAGCCACCTACTCTACAGAGATGACATCAAGCTATATGCCAAGAATAAGCGGGACATTGACTCACTAATAATCCTAACTAGGATATACAGCAAGGACATCAGAATGTTGTTCAGACTAGAGAAGTGCAGGCAGATGATATCAAAAAGAGGGAAGATGATCAGGATAGAAGGAGTTGAAGTTCCAGAAGGCAAAATCTAAGATGTAGAGAACATCTACAAGTACCTGGGGGTACCACAAATGCCTGGCAACAATGAGGAATAGGCAAGGAGGATAGCAACATTCAAGTACCTCCAAAGAGTCAGACAGATCCTGAAGTCCCAGCTCAATGGCAAGAGCAAGATCCAAGCCATCAACACAACTGGTCATCAGGTACCACGCTGGAATTATAACCTTACCAAGAGAAGGACTGATCACTATGGATGTCAAGAACTGGAAACTATTTACTATGAATGGAGGATTTCACCTGAAATCCATCACCCTGAGACTTTACACCAGCCAGAAGGAAGGGGGTCTGGGCCGGATGAGTGTCAAGGCCACAGTCCTGGATGAAACACTGAGCATCCACAAGTATATCACAAAAATGGCTCCCACAGATGAAGTGCTAAGGGAATGCCTGAGACAACAACAGATAGAGGATGCAGAAAAGAGAAGGTTCCTCAGAAAGACAAACCTCCTCATGGGGATTACAACAGGCAGATAGTGGATGTGACTCACATGAAAAAATCCTACCAGCGGTTGGAAAAGCCAGGACTGAAAGAGTGCACTGAGGCACTAATCCTAGCAGCACAGGAACAGGCACTCAGCACCAAATACATAGAAGCTGGAGTCTACCACACCATACAAGACCCAAGGTGCAGACTGTACAAAGCACCTAGTAGCCGGATGCAAGATGTTAGCAGGAACAGCATACACAGAGAGTCACAACCAAGTTGCTGGAATTGGTTACCAAAACACCTGCCAGATGGGAGATACCACAAATGGTAGTTGAGAATGACAGGACTAAGATCCTGTGGAACTTCAAGATCCAAACAGACAAGCAAGTGCTGGCCAACCAACCCAACATCGTATGGTACACAAGGAATGGAAGACTGCAGTCGTGGTGGGTGTGGCAAAACCCTTTGGACTATATAACATCAGGAAGAAGAAACATGAGAATTTGGAGAAATACCAAGGACTGAAAGAAGAGCTAGAAAGGATGTGAAAAGTGAACAAAGTAGTAGTCCCAGTTGTGATAGTAGCACTTGGAGCTTTGACTACCAAGTTAGGGGAGTGACTTTAATAGATTCCAGGTGGGACATCTGAGATCACTGTCCAGAAAAGTGCAGTTCAAAGACAGCTAAGATACTGCACAGAACCCTCAAACTACCAGGCCTCTGGTAGAGGGCCGGAGAATGAGGAATAAACATACTACCCAGGAGGGGTGAGAATATACATTTTTTATCATATATATATATATATATATATATATATATATATATATTCATGTTTATATATATATATAAATGTAGTAAGGTAGCACTCCCAGGACTTTATATAAATAAAAATTAACTTTTATTAGCTTCCAAAATAAAAAAAATCAACGTTTCAGTCTGTCACAGCAGACTTTCATCAGCTATCCATAAATAAGAAAAATAAGGGAGAAAAGCAGAGTTCTCCAAATTATAAATGATGAGCGATGTCTCCCAAATAGAAAGGATAAATAATTGTTTGAGAACAATGTCTATAAATGTATGTCTGTAAACAAATGGTGTTTTTTTTTAAGAAAAATGTTTTGTTCTTGTTCTGTTCCATAAATGGATAAAAAGAGAGGAGTTAAAACATAAAAACATGATAAACGACTCAATTAATTAATTATATGGTATTGTATTGTAATGTCCTTTTATATGTATTTTGTCAAAAAACAAAAAAGAATGCACAAAAAAAGCCTTATATTAAATAAAAGATAAATTATTTGTAAAAAATGTTTTAAAACAATTTCAATGCTCATTTATATGAATTGGGTTATAATTTGCATATAGTTCTGTTTGGTTGGATGTGGTGTAAAAGATATTAATAAGCCAAAACATCCTTTGACTTCCCTTTTCCAGCTCGTCCAATCTTGTCTCAGCGATTCTAAAAGCACAGAGGGAGTCCTAAAGGCTAGTTTACAATGCTTTGATTTGAATATGCTATGCAAGACCTATGTATTAGATGGAATGGTGTCAGACTTCCAGTACATGGGAAAAGCTGAAGAAGAGGAAATTGATAGATGACCTCACATAATGTTAACCTTAGGTAAACCCTCTGGGAATTTCTTCAGGAGACACAATTTGGGTGTAATTTGTGGGATTTGATCTATAATGGCAATTGCTCTGCATTAACAGCAGGGACCTAAGCATAAGCAGCTTCACCCTAGAATCAATGCCACCAGGCTATCTGGATCAATTGACAAAAGTTAGAGACATTAATAGCCAAATCCTAAGCAGTCGCACCCTGGGATCAATGACTCTGACTGTCTCTTACTCCTTACTCTCACAAGGATACAGCAATGGTAAAGTACACAAAGCACTGCTGATCTGTTATCTTCAATAGCTTCAGTCACAGTGTTTGAAACAATATACATCTGCAGATATTGCAAGCTAAAATCTCATATACCTCTAAATATTTTTTTTAATGCTGTCCCTTTAATGGATTTATATCAACTAATGGGTTTAGTAAGTGTGAAACCTAAATTTCTTTAGACTTTGCTATTTTGCATGACAAAGATTAAAAATAGCACATTAATTATGCAATCATCAAAGAGCACGCAAAATATTAAAATCAGGTAAAATCAGTGTTTAATTCAAAACTGAAGGACAGTTAGAGGTCAGAGGGGTTTGTTCTACAGTGAGTAGAACATAAACTATAAAATTTAAAGTGACAGATGATCTTGACTAAGAATGGTAGTGAGTAGAACAAACTATAAAATTCAAGGCGACAGATGGTCTTGACTAAGAATGGTCAAGAACATAAACTATAAAATTCAAGGTGACAGATGGTCTTGACTAAGAATGCTAAAGAAGGTAAGGTGGTTACTGAGACATAGTATAATGAGAAAAAATACTGTGACATAGCAATACTGGGGAACTCTTTACATAGAAAAGACAGAGAAGGCAAGGGAGGGAAGGGGTGGCCCTGTATGTAAAGGTTAGAATCAGTGGCAGAACTAATGCAGATAGAGCTCTGGTGTAAGAAATTATTTTTCCACCCCCAGCTCCAAATAATTTTGCAGCGATGTAAGCATGTTTATTTATGGAGTATGTGTGTGTAAAATGAAGAGGTCTATTTATGTATAGTGTTATACATAGTTTTTATGTTTGAATTCTGGGATGTATGAACATTTACACAACAGTGACAAAGAAATAACCTAACACACAGATACAAACATATACCCACACTGACACAAACAAATACAAACATATACCTACAGAAACACATATACAAAGATACAAACATATACCTTCACAGAAAGACACATACACTGGCACACACAGATACACATGCACTGGCACACACACAAATGCAAACATACCTACACAGGCACATACATTCACTGGCACACATACAAACAAATGCACATTCTCTGACACAAGCACATACATATACATACACACAGATACACACACATATATAAACATACTAAATTGATATTAAGCTTTTGACAAAGGTGTATGGAAATGCTGAAACGCGCGTCAAGCTTTTTTATGCCGATGCCGACTTTGCTAGACTTAATTTTACTTTATTTTAACTTTACCTGGGCTTACACATGTCTTTACTTTAAACAAATTTTTGCTTGAAACTTCACTTGACATTTTAGGGATACTATGAGGCTGCCTTCGAAACAGCAGTTAGTAATGCCTGGCATTGCCTTCGAGTTAGATAGTTAGTCTAGGGCATACTAGGGTGTTGCTTATTTATGTGACTACCTGTCGATATACCCTACTCCCTACACTGCTCCACAGATACCCCTCATATATTCTCGGGCTGAGTGACTACCCACTTGGCACAATTGTATTTAAGATGTGTGGTTACACTACTCTTAGTCCGTTTCACTTTATATTTTAAAAGATAGAGGGGGTTTACTGTATCTATAATGAGCTGACTCTACTATGTGAGGAAATTATGGGGGGCTCTCTGTTTTTGACTTAACAGGTATTCTTATAAGCGCACCTAGCCACTAGCAGCTTCCAACAAAACCGGTTTGTTCTTACTGTCTCTTACGTGTACCCTATAACTTACGGATGTTCTCTAGCATTACATATCCTATAACTTATGGAGGTTCTCTAGCATTACATACCCTTGATGAGCATTTGCAAGCAGTGTACTATCCTACGGGGCATTCTAATATCGGTGCCACCACTACTGGTAAGCACCATCCATTCTATTAAGTTAATAATTGTTACAACTACTAATAGACATTGGTTATGGACTAGTCGTCCATCCTTGCACTATAATATACTTAGATTCCTATATCATTGGTGGTTTTGGGGGTCAATTGGGCACATTTCTTGATCCTTTGTAGGTTTATATATTACTAGCCTTCTATAACCCTATAAAATCCCATCAACTTTTTGGAATCCGTTACCCGGGTATTTTAAACTAGGATTTTTTTTCACCTTATCACGATTACCACACGGTTTTGGTGTGTTAGGTTTTTGGGTATTTAGTATTTTTTATTGTTTTTTTGTCTTGCAAGAAAGGTTCTTATTATGTTTATGTTACGTTTATATTAGGAGGTATCTGTGAATGTGAGTAGACCCTACCCACTGTTGCTGAGTGGGTTTTCTACCCCATTCTTTTGTCTATTCCATATACAAACATATACCGACACATACACAGATACACACACACTGGCCCACATACAAACATATTCCTACACACAGATACACGCTCATACACACACATACACATTACTACAAACACACACAAACCTACACATACACACACAGGATACACACTGGCACACATACACACACTGTCACACACATACACTAAGGCACACACAATGATACACACCAACACTGACAGATACACATACATACACAAACTCACTGGCATACACACAGATACACATACTCACACAGATACATGCACACACTGGCACACACATACACACACATACACACTGGCACATACAGACAGATACACTCATACACACAGATACACACACACACACACACACACAAAGAGATACACACTAACACTCATAGATACACATACCAATACATACACACTGTCACACACATACACACACACACACACACTGGCACACACACAGATACACACATAAACACACTGTCACCAATGCACACTGGCAAACACATACCTAAACATACACTCTGGCACACATACAAATTGTAATTTACATATTGTTAATAACCCCACTGCTTTTATACCTTTTGATTACAGCAAGGTGACTTCCTGGATCTGGCTGCAGCTGATGGGAGTCTGCAGCTGACTACCTTCAGAGCTCCTGTCACGAACGCACCCTACTTCAAGAGTGTGCGTGACATAGTTGTAGTAGTGAAAGGGTTAAACTTCACTATTTGTATGCACTAGAAACACAAACAAAATATAAAATCCTTTTTAACACCACCCACACTTAACTATAATAATATAAATAATAATAATATAAATATTACCATTTTAATGCTGCCACCACCAAGACAATTTATAAATGGGGTGCCTTGGTCCCCGAGGTAACTTAACAATAAAAACCCACCAAAGGAGATGACCCAGCTGTCATGGTATATATTGGTACCAATGACAAAGTCAGAGGAAAATGGAAGGTCCTAAAGAATGAGTTCAGGGAACTAGGAAGTAAGCTAAAGAAAAGGACCTCCAAGGTAATTTTTTCAGAAATATTACCTGTGCCGCGCGCTACAGCAGAAAGGCAGCGGGAGATTAGAGAGGTCAATGCGTGGCTAAATTCTTGGTGCAGGAAAGAGGGTTTGGGGTTTTTAGAGCACTGAGACGATTTTGCGCTTGGGTACAACCTGTATAGTCATGATGGATTGCAAACGGAAGAGGGTCTGCTGTGCTGGGGGATAGGATGGCTAGAAGGTTGGAGGAGATTTTAAACTTACATACTTACATGGTAGGGGAGGAGGGTCAAAGCAATCTAGAAAATGGAGATAGGATGAAAAGGAGATGGGCTTTAGCTCAGAACAAAGGGGGTGGAGATGGGGGGAGGGGAAATCTCAGAACAGAGGAGGTATGTAATATTGATAATTCACAAAAAGTACAAAAGACTCATGATAATATTAAATATATGCTTACTAATGCAAGGAGCCTATATAACAAAATGGGGGAACTAGAGGCAATAGCATACACTAAACAATATGATATAATAGGCATAACAGAAACATGGTGGGATGAGACACATGACTGGGCAGTTAATTTAAATGGGTACACGTTATTTAGGAAGGATAGGAAAAACAAGAAGGGTGGTGGGGTATGTTTATATGTCAACCATGAGTTAAAGTCAAATCTTAGGCATGTGGAGTGTGACGAGGAAAAGGTGGAGGCTTTATGGGTAGATATCTGCTTGGGGCAAACAAAAGGAAATCAATTATTGGTTGGGATATGTTATAAACCACCTAATGTAAATATTATTGAGGAAGAACAGCTGTTAGGGCAAATTGAGAAAGCTGCAAATCAAGGTAACACGCTAATTATTAGAGATTTTAATTATCCAGACATAAATTGGGAAAGAGGGACTAGTACTTCAGCAAGGGGCATAAGGTTTTTGAATGTGTTAAATTACACCTTTATGTCACAACTGGTACAAGCACCAACTAGAAAGGATGCTTGTCTGGATCTTGTCATAACAAACAATGTTGATCTTTTAACCAACATTCAAGTAAGGGAGCATTTGGGAAATAGTGATCACAATAACTCAAATAATAACATTCAATAACTTTGAAATAAACTCAAAAAAGCAAAAGCAAGTGGGGTATACTAAAACATATAATTTAAAAAAAGCCAATTTTAATAAGGTTAGGGCAGCTCTACAACATATCGACTGGCATAAACTCCTTAGTGATAAAAACACTGAGAATAAATGGAAACTATTCAAACAAATATTAGAAAGGTACATTTCTCAGTATGTACCATTGGTTAATAAATATAAAAGAAACACATTAAAACCAATGTGGCTTAGTAGAGAAGTAAAGCAAGAGATTAAAAATAAGAAAAGGGCATTTAAAGCATTTAAATCAGACAAATCAACAGCATCCTATTTAAGATATAAGGTAGCCAATAAGGCTTGCAAAAAGCCAATTAGAGTGGCTAAACTAGAAAATGAGAAATTGATAGCTAAAGAATGCAAAACCAACCCCAAATTTTTTTTCAAGTACATCAATTCTAAAAAAACAAAAAATTGAAAGTGTAGGTACACTTGAAACAGAGTTGGGTTTATTAGCTAATGAAGACCTGGAAAAAGCAGACATTTTAAATAACTATTTTTCTTCAGTATATATGAATGAGGATCCTATGGCAAGAGATATGCAAATGATTGCTGCAAAAAAACTTGCAAATAACGTGTGATTGGATAACTCGAGACAAGGTGCTACAGCTATTAAAGAAAATTAATGTAAATAAAGCTCCGGGGCCTGACGGTATTCACCCACGAGTACTTAAGGAGCTAAGTGGGGAAATAAGTGAACCTCTGTATTTAATTTTTCAAGATTCTTTTGTTTCAGGTGTTGTACCAGAGGATTGGAGGAAGGCAGATGTTGTTCCTATATTTAAAAAGGGTTCAAAATCCTTGCCTGGAAATTATAGACCTGTGAGCTTAACTTCTGTAACTGGGAAAATATTTGAAGGGCAATTAAGGGATAATATTCAGGAATTCATTGGGAAGAACTTTGTTATTAGCAATAATCAGCATGGTTTTATGAAACATCGGTCATGTCAAACTAACCTAATTGCATTCTACGAAGAAGTAAGTAGAAGTATAGATCAGGGTGTTGCAGTGGATGTGATCTACTTGGATTTTGCCAAGGCATTTGATACGGTTCCTCACAATAGGTTAGTCTTCAAACTAAAAGAAATTGGTCGAGATGAATATTCTTATTCTTGGGTAGAACATTGGCTTAAGGATAGAGTACAACGAGTTGTAATTAATGGTACATTTTCAGGCTGGACAAAAGTGGTAAGTGGTGTCCCTCAGGGTTCTGTTTTGGGACCACTTCTATTTAACATATTTATAAATGATCTTGAAATAGGCATTGAAAGCCATGTATCAGTGTTTGCAGATGACACACAACTTTGTAAAGTAATAAAATGTGAGCAGGATATTGCTTTGCTGCGGAGAGATTTGGATAGATTGGGGGACTGTGCACTAAAATGGAAGATGAAATTTAACATAGAGAAATGCAAAGTTATGCACTTTGGGGTTAAGAATGCACCAGCAACTTACACACTAAATGGTAGTGAATTAGGGATAACCACACACGAGAAGGATTTGGAAATTGTTATAGACAACAAATTAGGCAGCAATATGCAATGGCAATCTGAATTTGCTAATGCCAGTAAGTTTTTGTCATGTATAAATAGGTGCATTAATTCTCGGGATGGAAATATAATTTTGTCTCTTTATAAATTGCTGGTAAGACCACACCTTGAATTTTGGGCTCCTGTTCTAAAGAAGGATATCATGGCACTGTAGAGGGTCCAGAGACGAGCTACAAAATTGATAAAAGGAATGGAGCATTTTAGTTATGAATAAAGGTTAAAAAAATTAAATCTGTTTAGTTTGGAAAAACGGCGCCTGAGAGGGGATATGATAACTTTATACAAATATATTCGGGGGCCAGTACAAACCTTTATCTGGAAATCTATTCATAAACAGGGCTATACATAGGACACGAGGTCACACATTTAGGCTGGAGGAAAGGAGATTTCATCTAAGGCAAAGAAAAGGTTTTTTTACAGTAAGAACAATAAGGATATGGAATTCTCTGCCTGAAGAGGTGGTTTTGTCAGAGTCCATACAGATGTTTAAACTGAAATTTGATAAATACTTACAAAAACATAACATACAGGGATATAATTTCTAATTAGTGGGGTAATAGCTGCTTGATCCAAGGAGACATCTGACTGCTATTTCGGGGTCAAGAAGGAATTTTTTCCTAGTTTGTGGCAAAATTGGAAGTGCTTCTGACCAGGTTTTTTACCTTCTTTTGGATCAACAGCAACAACATTTGTGAGGAAGGCTGAACTTGATGGACGCAAGTCTCTTTTCAGCTATGTAACTATGTAATTATGTAACAACAGAAAAAAAACAATAAAATAACAGAAGTCCTAATCACTTACTTAGGTTTTCAAAGTAAAACTTCTGCCCAGGGGGTCTCTGGCAAAGAAAATGGTGACTCACTCAAAATCAGATTTTGGTACCGAGCACGTACAAACACATTTCAGAATTATTAGATATATACCCTGTGGATAACCAAGCCTGTCCTAGAGGTGGAGATAAGGCAGACCTATGGAGACAATAAGTGACCACCCCTTTGTGTCCCAGACCAACATCAATCCAAATAGAAGAAAAAGTTTCTATCTCCTCTTTTGTACTTGCCGCAGAAATAATAATTGCATCTGTGAATTTGTTAAAAATGTTCGATTTCATGGATATGTCATACACCTTACTTGTGACCCAATATAGTGGATATTACAATCCCTTGTCATATGGTTATGCAAATCATTTTTAGGATTTATTAGAAGATTGTGCTTGTCCCACTCTAAATATAATAAAAATTGAGGCGTAATCATTATTCTGTGGGTAAATATTAATGTTTCTTTTGGGTACGATACTTGAACACAAAGCTAATGATCATTAATGTAGCGGATGGCACTGGGCTGTCCTGGGAATTGTGTTGGTTTTGACTGCATTCGTGTAAATGGCAACGTTATATGTGTTAAATGTATTGTGTTCGTCTGATTGTTTGGTAGTTTCATTCCCTTAGTTTGTTCGAATGAAACTACTGAACAGTCAGACCTCCCCTGTGTGAAGTGTGCCTTCAATTACCCGTTGCAACATTGTTGCGAACGGGTAATTGACAAGCCAAGTAGCAGTCCTTTGTTCTCGGGGGTGGCCGCCATTCGGGAAACGAACACATGGCGGCCATTTTAAAACTCCCGAACAGCGGTGTTTTGCCGTCGAGTGTCTGGAACTCAAATCAGACACTCGACTAGGCAAACACCGCTGAGACCTCCACAAGCAGGTCCATTCGGTTCCAAACTACCGAACGGCCCCTCGTTCGGTAGATAGAAACAACCGAACGAGGGGATTCAGGCGAACCCTCCCCAATCTCTGTAACTAGAGGCTTTCGTATGATTTATTCCCTTTTTCCAGGACCGACCGCAGGGCCCCATCGCATGGAGACCAATTCGGCTATTCCTTCCAGCGCGGTCAGTCATTTTATTCCCTCCATGAATTTCCCGAACCCCTGGTCTGATCTGGGTGATTTTTGGATATGTTGTTCACCCAGATCAGGGCTACCAGGGGATGTATAATTTAAAGTGGTACCCCTAGGTTTAGGGGTACATCCAGAAATGGGGGGAATTGGTGTCCTGTATAAGGGGATTATGATGCAGGCTGAGGGGAGGGGATGTGTGGGAGGTTACCGGAACAGGATTGGATACTGTAGTAATTGATGGAAATCCTTCCCTTGCATGGGAGCATGCTTTATAAGGCCACTGTGAAATTAAGGTTTTCAGTTCTGCTCCTGATGCTGTGTGTTGTCCAGTTATTGGGATTGCTGTTGGGATACTGTTGGATTATTTTACCTGCTGGAAACCTTGCTTTGTGGATTTATAATTACTTGTTCTTGAGCCTCACTGGGATCTTAAGCGAGATAATCTGTGGAATATTGTATCTCCACTACAATTAACATATCAAAGAAATTAACTCATCAATTAAGAGGTAGAGACCATATGGTTGAAGTCAGTTAGTTTACATTGGAACTAGACATCCAGGTATCTCAAGTGTAGAATTTCATACCTTGCAGAGCCTTTGATTAATCAAAGTATCAATCCATGTTGTAAACCATCTGTCCCCTTTCACTTTCCTATACAATTTACATTACCCCTTCTGTCATCTGACCTCTACCAAGTGGCCAATTCATATATGCACTACACAAATTACATTAAATGGCAATATTCTATTGTGCAACAATGAATTATGCACCATTGGCCTGACAGCTCCTTCCTTCCTCTCTGTACATCCTGCTGCTCGCAGCACTCGTGGTCTCTAAGCTGGGAGGAAGTGTCAGATACACTTACCTAACACACATACAGTGAGAGGAAAAAAGTATTTGTTCCCCGGCTGATTTTGAATGTTTTCCAACTGAAAAAGAAATGATCAGTCTATAATTTTAATGGTAGGTGTATTTTAACAGTGAGAGACAGAATCACAAAAAAAAAAAAAATCCAGAAAAACACATGTCAAAAAAGTTATAAATTGATTTACATGTCAATGACTGAAATAAGTATTTGATCCCCTATCAATCATCAAGATTTGTGGCTCCCAGGTGTCTTTTATACAGGTAATGAGCTGAGATTAGGAGCACTCTCTTAAAGGGAGTGCTCCTAATCTCAGCTCGTTACTTGTATAAAAGACACCCTGTCCACCCTGCTCAATCAATCATATTCCAAACTCTCCATCATGGCCAAGACCGAAGATCTGTCCAGGGATGTCAGGGACAAGATTGTAGACCTACAAGGCTGGAATGGGCTACAAGACCATCGCCAAGCAGCTTGGTGAGAAGGTGACAACAGCTGGTGCGATTATTCGCAAATGGAAGAAACACAAAATAACTGTCATTCTCCCTCGGTCTGGTGCTCCATGCAAGATCTCATCTTGTGGAGTTTCAATTATCTTGAGAACAGTGAGGAATCAGCCCAGAACTCCATGGGAGGATCTTGTTAATGATCTCAAGGCAGCTGGGACCATAGTCACCAAGAAAACAATTGGTTGCACACTACGCCATGAAGGACTGAAATCCTGCAGCACCCGCAAGGTACCCCTGCTCAAGAAAGCACATGTACAGGCCCATCTGGAGTTTGCCAATGAACATCTGAATGATTCAGAGGAGAACTGGGTGAAAGTGTTGTGGTCAGATGAAACCAAAATCAAGCTCTTTGGAATCAACTCAACTTGCCATGTTTGGAGGAGGTGGAATGCTGCTTATGACCCCAAGAACACCATACCCACCATCAAACATGGAGGTGGAAATAGTATGCTTTGGGGGTGATTTTCTGCTAAGGGGACAGGACAACTGCACCATATCAAAGGGACAATGGACGGGGCCATGTTCTGTCAAATCTTGGATGAGGACCTCCTTCCCTCAGCCAAGGCATTAAAAATGGGTCATGGATAGGTATTCCAGCATGGCAATGACCGAAAACACACAATCAAGGCAACAAAAGAGTGGCGAAAAAAGAAGCACATTAAGGTCCTGGTATGGCCTAGCCAGTCCCCAGAGCATAATCACCTAGAAAATCTGTGGAGGGAGCTGAATGTTCGAGCTGCCAAACATCAGCCTCTAAGCTTTAATGCAACATCTATGAACAAAACAACATCAATCCAGGAACCTCCAGCTCAACCTGTTGAAAGCATTTTAAGCATCAAAAGCTAAAAAGACATATTGTACTTTTTGTGCGTTTAGATGATATATCATATTTAAAATTGTGCAAGTGTTATCAGCCATATCTTCATTTAGTCTTTATGGATAAATTCAGGACTCACTCTTTTAAGCCATGATTTTAGAATAAATCGTAATATCTATGTTTATCAGAGAGATAGGGTCATAATTCGACAGGATGTCAGGGTCCTTCCCTGGCTTGGGAATTGGGAGAATATTGGCCTGTAGTAACTCCTGTGGAATAAATTTGCATTTAACAAATTTGTTAAAACTCTGCTGTAACAGTGGGGAGATTGCATTTATGAATGTTTTATAAAATATTGCAGTGAAGCCATCTGGCCCAGGAGCTTAAGCAATTTTCAACCATTTTATTGTATTTAATATCTCGTTCATGGAAAAAGATTTGTTCAGAAATTCCAATTTCTCTGAGATATATTTTTTTAAAGAAATTCTTTAATTGTGTTACCATGATCATTGTTTTTAATATCAGCTTTTAGATTGTATAAATAATGGTAAAATGATCTGAAGCATCTCCAGTTTGTTTAGGAGATAGGAGTTTTGTTTTTTTAACTGACTTGATTTTACTAATATGATTGCTCCCCTCTGATGAGCAACTCGTGCGCGTCAGTATCTCCTTGTCCAGCACCATAGTTCTCTCTGCTATACATGCAGACAGATAGTTTCTGTGCTGCTTTAGCAAGATAATATACTCTATATTATTATCTATAACTGTGACAATATCCATGTGATTGTTATACTATACTGAGTTAGGAGACACCTAATTTTTTGTTAGCATTTTTTCTGTTTCATTATATAAAGTTATCATGCAGTCTAATATTGGACCTATGTTGAGACATTTTATATTCTCCTCACGCAGTTCCAAATTCAAAATATGCAAGACTGCGAGAGAAAAAAAAAAAATACATATGTTTTTATTAATCACCTTTTCCAGTTACCGATTAAAAGCTTTCAATTAGAGGTAATTAACTTATTTATGTTATAATTATTCCACATGAAATGCATAAAACATGCTTGGTTAATCGTGTTCAATTATCACACCCGACAATAGAGTTACTAACTACCAATTTTATCCATGTGTCTTCAAATTTTAATATTAAAACTATTATTTTTCCTGCCCAATGTGGTATATAAATTAGCTATCAATGACATAATATTTTAAAGTGCAAAATTAAATTCCATATTTGTTACCCTCTTCGGGTGATGCTTGTTATTACCATCAATATCTAAAATTGCT